GTTATTACGGTGTATCCATATAAATGGCCCACCCTGTACATTTCAACTAAGGTATGCAGAAGAGCATCTCTGAATGCATAACATGTCAAACCTTAAAGCAGATGAACTAAAGCAGCAGAAGACCACAACGGGTGCCACTCCTGTCTGGTAAGAACAGGAGACTGAAGCTACAATTCAGACAGCTCACCAAAACTGGTCAGTAGAAGAGTAGAAACTCCTGCCTGCTCTGTTACAACATTCAGATGGCAGGGTCAGAACTCGGCATAAACAGCATGGATCCATGCTGGCTTGTGTCAGCAGTTGCTGGTGGTGTAGTGGTATGAGTATTGTCCATCATGTCCATCCCTTTATGATCACATTACTCATCTTCTTATGGCTGCTGCCAGCAGGATAAGTCAGTCTGGTTTCTTGAACGTGACTAGTTCACTGCACTCGAGTGATCTAGGTAATCTCCAGATCTCAATCTAATAGATAGAAAAATAGAGAAAGAGATCAAAATCTCTGAGAAATGTTTCCAGCACAGTGTTGAATTTATTGGCTGGTGAGTGTATGTTATAAACTAGAATGTCAATCGTGGTTAGGTCCATCACAATTGATGATCCATCACACAGTGAAATGCAAATGAGTGAAATGCAAAAAGTATTTTTAGTTATAAGTTATAACCTTTTCTTGTCATTGGCTGACTGTGTTCCATAAATTCATTATTAAAATCCATTGTGTGCCTCACTGACGTTTCAAAGAGTCATTTCCAGGACCAAATATCAACACCTTACCAGTAATTTAGGAGGAGTAACAATTCTCATGAAAATGGAAAAGTACCCATAAAACAGCCAGTATGACCTTGACCACAAGCACAAGTTGGGTAAACCCCCGCTAGGTGGTCCTTGTTTGCAACTTTCACTAACACCTGACCGTCCTGTGAGGAGTATTGATTTATTGGGAATTGAGGAGGAACAGACAGATGGATGGGCCGATGATGGATACCTCGCAATCACATAAGTTGCTCAAGGTTAGGCAGCAGCAGGTGTACAGGGACAGTTTTACCAGGATGCTGGGCTTTTTTTCTTTTCTTGAGATGCAGCCCCTCACGTCATCACCTGTTATCCCATCAACACTTGTCGTAATCCATGCTCAGTCATATGTAAGTTCATAATTATTTGAGCGCTAATGCTCTTGAGTACACGCACGCCAGCGATGACTCAGTGTATTATTCTGACAATGCAGACTGCCCAGATGGTAGTCACAGGAAAGCTGCACAATGGTCTCTAGAGCGGAAGCCGTGAATCAGAGGGAAGAGAAGCCGGTCTGAGAAACAGTGTGTAGGATAAAAAACATTAAATGTGACACTGGCTCCCCATGGATTTAGTGCATTATTAAAAGATTAGGAATTATGGGATAATTTCCTAGAGAGGTGTTAGTATGAGGCCAAGTGCCAACTTTGATCTTTTGTTTCTGTGACCACTTTAAATCTGGATGAGAGTTCCTGAATGTGAACTCCACATATACCGTATTCATCACCAACACCTTAAGGAAAACTATATGATCAAGGAGTTGTTTTTGACATTGTGTTTGTGGTGAGGTGGATATGAGTGAAGGACACTGCAGAAATAAACACGGTGACGGCCAAAGTGACTCAAGGGAAAAAGGCACAGGAAAAATGGGGCGATAAAGAAAAGCCTGGAGAACTGGGGCTATTTTGGGCTCAGCGGGCTTCCTGCAGGTGATGGAAATGAAAGAAAGATTTCTGGAACAATTGCTCAGCAGCAAGTGAACTGAGGGAGGAGAAAGATGGAGGTGGAGGAGGAGGAGCGGGGGGCTGTAGAGCAACAAGTGAACATAAGAATCGATGTAAACATCACAGAAGGTTACCTTAAGTTTAAGTCCAAAGTTGTGTTTGGACGCCTTGTTTAAAGATTGTTTATGCTGGCATCACAGCTCTTTTAAGTAGGGAATAAAAAAGTGTGTGTTTGTTTGTGTGTGTGTGAGTTCATTTGGCAGAATAGTCAGTGTGTTACAGACACACCCCCTCATCCCACCATCACACTATAAAGGACCAGCGTTAGAAAGGGATGACAGAGTCAGACATCCAACAACCAGCAAGTTGTGTTGGTTTACTCAACAAGCCACAGCAGGTTTTAAGCTCTCCTTTTGCGGTAAGCATCTTTTGAGATTAATTTTTATACGATTCTAAAAGCTCTCTAAACACATAATTATTATTATTATCATTTGACTTTTATGGTTAAATCATTTTGTGCTTCTTCAACAATTGGGTCAGAAGAGCATTTTTTCTTTAGCACCACACTTAATTATTCATTCTATTAAATTGTAGGGCAGTGCGTTATGGAGATAGCTGTTCTGTTGCTGCTGACTGTCCCTTTGACTGCTGCCTCCCCACTGAGACGAACTCAAAGGTGAGTGAAAAAACACAGGGAACCACACAGCTCACAACGGCGCACATAATGAAGTATCACTCTCTACCAGTAGAAACGCAACATCAAAGCATGCTTGGGATGGCGGGAAATTAAAAAAAGTGTTTAAAGCAGAGCTTCTTATTAGTGTATCTCTAAGTTATATTATTGTAAATTATAGGTTACTTAATAAATTCCATATCCTGTTGGAAACACAGGTCAGACGCAGACGTCGTCCTACCAGGAGCAGCGGTCCGAGATGTAGGAGGGGAAATGTCAGAGGACACACACGAGCACCATGCTCCATTACTGAAGATCATCCCATTCACCTCAGAGAACAAACATCTGGACCTGGAGGCTCTGAGACACAGGTACAAAGGACGTGACAACGTGCTGAGAGTGGCTGTCAATAGAAAAAGAGCATTATTTAATTTGAAAAACTAAATCAAAGTATTTGTTAAAATTACATTAAATTAAAAAACATTATGGTCATGTCACTATCAGTCCTTTATTAGAGGGTAAATATTGTGATTGTTTTTCAGAAAGACAACACTTTTTTCCAACTTCATTCAAAACTGCATTTTTTAATATGTGATGTTCTGCACCCTGAGTTTGATGTTCACCCTTCTCATTTTCATCACGACAGCATGGGCCTGAAGCCACGACTGCCGCGTGCACTTCAGCGTGGATGCCAGCTCGGGACATGCCAGCTTCACAACTTAGCCAGCACTTTATACCACTTCAGCAAAGGAAGCGGAAAGGAGGAATCAAAGAAGGCAAAAGATCCACAGGGCTACGGCAGATAGGACCAAAAGGAATGTCAGCAATTAAGGACTGAAGGGGTGGAGAGCTGCCCACATAGTTTTCCATCTACTGAAAACCAAATATCTCTATGTCTGCTCTGACTGACTGGTACTTATTAGAAATGTATGCTCGCAAATGATTTTTGTGTCTCGTGTGAAACGTGCGTTTTATACTTTAAATATGTAAATATTTAAATATGATATGCAATAAATATTTAAGAGAATTAAGTTTGTGGTGTTTATGTATAGTCTTAAAGGAAAAGTATAGTGCAATCCTACCATGATCACCTCTCATAAAGAGCCTTTGAAATGGTAAAGACAGAGGACGACTATGAGACATCTATAAATTCGAGAAAGATGAAGCAATGACCTGAATTTCAGCTGAACAAGACTGTAATTTGCCTCTGAAACAAAACCCCTGCAGGCAGGATTTTTTGTTGTTCATTCTATTGTTCTTTTTACTTCTGAGGGAAGTGAGCACCACAGCAACACATACCCAACAGGTTCTACTACAAATGTGTTACATTTTTAGGCTCCAGTAACAATTAGAGGACACAAGCTTGGGCATGTTTAGCAGTCTTTCTGCTACAGTGGTGTCATTGAGGGTATTCAGTTCCAACAACAGATACCAGTGACCAGATAAGGGGATGAGGAAGTATTTCAATAAACTCTAGCCCACTTTGTGGTTCCGATTGGCCCTTCCTGTTTGCATGCGTTGGTGTAATTGTCTGCCTCTGTGAAACCACACCCTTACCTGTGTGTTGGCTGCACCCATTTTTCTTTGCGCACGCCGAGTGAGTGCAGTGGCAGGGAATGGGGTTTCAGCAGTAGGAGACAAGGTGGAAAATAGTCAGAAAGAAACCCGTTTAGTCCTTCCGCATATGTTTCTCATTGAGAACGACTGAAAGGGAAACATGAAAGACACAGGAGCAGAAGAAGGAGGAGGAGGCGACGGCAGAGACAATATTGGCCAAACTGAGAAGAGCCAGGTGGGTTAGATTTCACTCAAGTCCTTCAGCTGCTGTTGTGATGTGCCGCTACATTTTTTGGAAGTGGAAGTTAACGCTATACTCGGAATTTCTGCCCATGAAGTTCCGAGAAACTGCAGTGAGCCGCCCATAGTCTTCTTGGAAAACACGTCGTGCAACAGCTGTCCAAACGTGCACGTTTGCGCGAACGACTGCAGGAGCTATCCGTCTGCTTTGTTTCCGCTGTGGTTTGTTGACCCTACACTTGTCTAACCGGTGGACGTTACAGCTTTAACAACTGGGAACGGCTTTTCCAATCATTTCTGACGCAGCAGTCTACTTTTTTTTTTTTTTGGCTAAGCGATATAAGTGGAAAACACGCCACTTATAAGAAACTAACTTCTACTAAACCGAGCATCCTAACCATAAGCAGTTAAATAAGCGCTCCGGTGAGGCGTCAGCTACTGGCACCAATAAATGCAACGGGGCCATCATGTTTTTTTTTTTTTCTCAGTTAAACGGCCTGTGGGGAAAGTGTTCTCTCTTTACTGCTTGGCTGATAACATTACAGAAAGATTAGCACTGAATACATTGGTGAAAACAAAATGTAATGTAGCCCCACTGCAGAATATGCTTATGCACAGCCTGCCTGTTGCACACACCTGAGCTCAAACTACGTCACATCATCAGAAATCACAGCACAGCTCGCCAACTTGTTACTGGGTAGTTTCTATTAGCCAAAGTCAACACTTGGACGGTTTTCTGCATCTGCTGCCACATGCATGAGATTTTAGGATTCAGAATTGAATCAGCTTCTGTAATAATTCAGTAATGTTATATAACTGCTGAAAAATGCTTTCAGAGTTGGATCCCCAAAATCATCAAGAAAAGAGTGTGCAGCACTTTTGTAGAAGATTCCTTCAGGTACTGTGACCTCTGTCTTTTAATAACAGCACGTGTATTTTGAGTAACTTCTCATGGTGTTGTTTATATCCCTCCACCTCTCTCAGTAATGGTGCATTGTGTCAGTGCGGGGCTGCGAGAGATGACCATGCCTCTGTGGCTCTTGGAGACTATTTCAGCACAGCCATCGTGAACCAGTGGAAAAGTGTGCAGCACTCCTCTGAACGACCGACAGATGCCTTTGGAGAGGTGCAGTTTGCAGGGGCCAGCAAGAGGCACAGCCATGTGGGTGCTTTTATTTTTCTCTCATAATGTTTGAATGCTTTGTTTCAAGAGCCTGAGAGTTCTTGAACATGTGTACATATTTTTAAAAGAAATGCCTCCAAAGGTGAGTTAAATAAAGGTTAAGATAAACCCTGAGCTGTAGTAGTCAGTTCGTTGAATTTTCCTGACCTTCAGTCTACCTCCGCTCCACCTGAGTAAACAGAGTCAAAAGTCGGTACAGATCACATGACAAGCTTCTTTTTTTCCCCCCATTTTATTACCATTTAAAGGCTGAAACGACTGAGTCGTTCAGCTTTAATACTAGTGTGATCACAGGCCATTACTTTTCAAATCTTTTTGCATTGTTGACATGGGCGTGCTTCTTTTAATCCATCAAATGTCTAAACTTAGTTCCTGCGCCTGTCATGGAGCACTGAGCCTTCTGTGGTGTACACCATATTGACAGCTCATTGGGGTCTTCCTCTACCCAACCTGGTTGTTTCTGTTGTGGGCGGAGAGGGAAGGACACAGGTGAAGACCTGGGTACGGGAGGTCCTCAGACAGGGACTGGTGAAAGCGTCACAAAGCACAGGTAAAAGCTTTATGCATCTGCCAGTGTGTCAGTGCTCCTGGCAGGTGTGATGTGTCTGGCATATCTGAGCTCAGCATCTTATTTCTGTTCTGGTTGCTGAAGTGGGTTATTGTTGGTTAGCAGATGTCATGATAATTTCCAGATGACGATAAAAGAACTGACAAATGATCCTGTCAGACATTGAAACCTACTCAGGGTGGATTTTAGCGTGAAGAAAACGGCTATTACAAAATTTAGTCTCAACACACAACACGACTCCCTGGGGTCCGGTCCTAATTTGGTAGTACAATGGCCATTTCCTCTCTGGCTACTGTACCAAGTGCAGGTGGCATATGGCGATACTGATCCCCCCCGTCGTCTGAGGTCACGCGCTGTTTTCTCAAAACAAGTCCAAGACGTACTAAAAAAAAAAAAAATCAAAGCCCCAAACAAAACATGCACACAAAGATGCAAGTAACTACATGGCTCACACTCCCTAAACATCTTTGTTAGATAAGACATAGTACAGGGCGTGGCACCATATTTGGTGTTAAAACCCGTTGCATATAAAAACATGTTTTACGCATGTCTGTTGCCTTTGTAGTTTTTTTTATGTGCTTTTAATTCTTTTACAGATAAATGTGTTTGAATCTGATACTTGACTTGTTGTGGTCTTAGGTTTATTTCTCAGGGATCAATAATTTGGTTCTGCTTCCTTAGTTTTTCTTCCCGTTTTGGTGCCCAGATTGTCAAGTCTCATTCGTTTTGTTCCTTTTAAATTAAAAACTGGTGTAAAATGTGAAACACATTTACAACTTTTGACATGACCTTTGTTTGTTCATGCTTAGAGAAACAGCAGACCCTGTAATAAATTGTTGACAATCTTAGCTGTAAAAACCCCCCAAAAAACAAAACAAATTGAGATGCAGTGCAATATGTAAATAAAACAGAATCCAGTGATTTGCAAAGTCACATAAAGTTATATTTTATTCACTGAAGAAAACTGAAAAAAACAATCAGATTTTCCACCTGTTTCCCCCAGGTGCATGGATCTTAACTACAGGTCTGCGTGAAGGTGTTGGCAGGTGTGTTGGACAGGCAGTGAGAGATCATGCAACTGCAGCTTCTTCATTCTCGCTCAACAAGGTGGTAGCGTTGGGCATTGCTCCGTGGGGCCTTGTGGAAAAACGAGAGCAGCTGGTCAACCCTCAGGTAGTACAAACTCTCACACATTTGCACATTTCTCTAAGCATTAAATCATATCTTGTTGTCTTTGTGGAAAAGGACCACGATTTGACACACGGTCTGTGTTGATTTGTCAGGTTTTATTGGGTGAACACACTGTTGGCAGTTCTTGCTCCAATTTAAAATAACTAAGGCTGAAATGTGGAAAGAAACGCTGGAATAACTGTTTTTTTTCTTCTTTTGCAGGGAAGCTTTCCAGCAAAGTACTATGTCCAAAACATTTCCCGGGACTCCTGCTCCCTGGATAACAACTACCAGGCCTTCCTCCTCGTGGACGATGGGAGTGTGGGCCGCAGAGGAGGAGAAACAGATTTCAGAGCCAGACTGGAGGAATACATTTCCCAGCAGCGCACAGGCATATGGGGTCAGAGATGGTACCATAAACTATGAAGTACAACATTTATAGCCTCTGAATTAAAGCAGAAACTATACTTGAGTACACATTATCTTCCACTCATGTATTCAGTTTAAGTTAACTGATTTAAATCTAATTGTACTAAATGAGACTTAACTCCTGTACCATTATTCCCAAAATACATCCTTTCAGAGTTAACTTTGATCTTTACAGGCTTTACATGTTCCTTCGTGTTTTGGTTGAATGATTTATTTATTTATTTAGTTATTTTTTGGCATCTACGGGAGGAAAGCCTTGCATGTGACTGCATGTATCTTACAGTTAACTCTACAACATTTCCATTCAAGTAAAACAAAAACATCCACAGGGTGCTCTTTGTATGAGTGTCAGCTGTTGTGCTTCATGAAAATTATGCACTTTGCACATCTTAGTATGATCACTCTGATTAAGTTAGTAAAAACATTTTATCAAGATTG